TCACATCACCCAATTCAGTTTGTCGTGCCAAGTTACCCTCCCACAGTCCCCCATTACCTTTCTCCTCAGCCGCCAATAGGACAGTGTCAAGATGCACAGCTCGTTAAATGGCCTTGCCCATCAGGTGCATGCAGTCAGGTGCTTGCAAGCATTGGTTGCTGGCAAAGACTCTTATTTGTATGGCCAAAGGACAACCACAAAGAAATCAAGAGGTGTGAGCTCCTCCCAACACGCAGTTGCTCCACTAAACATCCATGGATACCAACAACAGAGGGCTTTTGTTTGGCTGTCTTTTTTACAAATAAACAAATAACTTTGTTGTTTGAAGCGTGTGGTGCTGTCATTTCTTCTTACTAAAGAACCTGAAATCCTATTCAAGACTCAGGTCTCTTTAAAACTCTGCAGACCTTCCTCCCCCACAACAAAAACCCAACACTTTTGCTTAGCGGTGACTAAACATAATGATAAGGGTAAGAAGACACCAACTAGAAAACAGCAAGCAAGCAGTACAGCACAAAGACGGAAACCATTAAAGGAAACACAACATCTGATACTTGAGTCAGTAACACAGCAAAGGCTAAGGGTTGACATAAAGGTGTCAACCATTTAAAACAAAGTTACAGTAATTTCTAACTAGTCCAGATACTAAGATCTGAAGTTGCTGTGCAACACAGATGGGCACTGCACATTTGGCTGTGCTAAGGTGAGGGATTAAAGAAAGTCACACAGACCTATCAATGTGTGCCAGAGTTCCAGCTATAGCAACAAAAGTACAACAGATGTGAGCAACCCAGACCTAGCTCAAAGTGCAGGGCTCTTGCACTAAAGCGGGCATTACAGGCTCCCAAATCCTTACAGAAATGAGTACCAGCAGCCAAATGAGCTGAAAATCGAGGTCTAATTACCATTCAATCGAAATGTAACTATATGATTTATGCATTAAGCTCAACTCCCCTTTCTCCTTCAGACAATCACAAAGTAAAATCTCCTTCAAAAGAAGCTAAAAGAGGCCAAGATCTGCCCACTCTCCCAGATAAGAGCTGGAGTTCTGAACCCACAGCTGGAAACCAGAGCTGCAGCCTTCAGCCTCCATAGAATCTGACCACTCAAAATGAAGCCCTGCTTGCACACACACAAATCTGCAAGGGTTGTTAGAAAAACAAAACCAATTAAGCTCATACTACCGCCCCAAAGCTCCAGGGAACAAAAATGGAGTCCTGGTTATCTTTAGAATTAAGAGAGGAAGCGGGGAACCCCTTGAAGCTATTATTAGGCTAAGAGCACTACATCAGATTCGGTACGACAGGATTTAAGGAGAAACACGTGTCCAAAAGCTCACCGACCTCACTTTCCGAGCACTCGATTCTCACAGAACACAAAGCCTGGAGGCAGGCAGCAGTCCTTCCCACTTACATTTTCCCCCCTTCTCACCGGGTGCCTCAAGTACTTCTCCAAGAAGCACTCGCATTCATCAGCCACACAAACACAGCCTACCACCTGCTATCAACGCTTTTGTTCAGGGTTTATCTAGGTAATGGAGCCACAAGCGAGTGTATTTCTTCTCCAAAAGAAAAAATGTGCAGTAACTAAGCAGCGAAACAAGGGGAAAGACTGAAAAACAGGGGACAGCTCTAGACTTGTTAGCAGAAGATTATACCCTCATTTCTTAACATCCAAGGAGCCTGCAGTGCTCTACTAAGAAACACGAATTAACGACTGTTTACCAGGGTTGATAGTGATACGACAAGGGAGAACGGTTTTAAACTGAAACGGGAGGTTTAGGTTAGATATTAGGAGGAAGTTTTTCCACTTAGAGGGTGGTGAGGCACTGGAACAGGTTGCCCAGGGAGGCTGTGGATGCCCCATCCCTGGAGGCATTCAAGGCCAGGCTGGATGTGGCTCTGGGCAGCCTGGTCTGCTGGTTGGCGACCTGCACACAGCAGGGGGTTGGAACTGGATGAGCATTGTGGGCCTTTTCAACCCAGACCACTCTATGATTCTATGGTCTAAAATGTCACAAAGAAGCGAACGCACACTGCGGTTGCTCTTCCAACTTTGCTTTACTAACAAACCCATTTTAAACACGGCAAGTGTAAAATCCAGCTTTAACATGGTTAAACCTTGTTAAAGCTGTTAACTGAAACACAAGACTTCACGCGGCTCCAACAGTAAGAACCAGATAGCAGGAGCTGGGAAGGGATGAGAGCTTTCTCATGGCAGTCAGAAGTTTGGGCTCCTTCCAGCAAAGCTCAGCTGGATGCTTCTGTTCCAACTTGTCAGCAGCTGCTGGCACCTTCCGGAACTGAGTCTATATAGCAGAATATTCTTACAGAATAAGAACTTATTTTCCAGTAACTGGAATAGATATAAACAGTCAGACATAGATAAAAAAATGTATTGTTAAAGACAGGAAACAAATTTTGACTGTTTTATTTCTCATGTAGGTTTTATGCCTGTTCTATTCTGTTTCCATGACTAAGACTGAAGTAAATACGAAGAGATTTTGGTCATAGATTCTGAACGTACAGATAATTCAGACCATCATAACTCACATAACTTCCACTATAAAAGGAACATTCTCAAGCAGCAGCATCATGAATGCAGGTGTTTTATGAGTGGAGGCCTTGACAGAAGTGCTGGAGAAGAGGACATGACTTACACATAATGCAGCAGCGTGAAACCATGCTCAACTTCTGACTGCTGCAACAGCACCCGGGCAAATTAAAGTCATCTGCTGACGGACAGTGAGAACAGATCTCTGCATATGGAACTGACTTGAAAATTGGCTAATTATGCAATTGCGATCAGTTTCTCTTCATAATTCCTGAGGTAGTTGGATAGTATGGCTTCAATTAACATAATGACCTGGCTCTGAAAGAGGGAGGTTTCCCTCAGCCGTTGGCTTTCAGCCATACTCCTCCTACCTTCTTTTGTTCCAGCTCTGAGGTTCATCTGACCTCGTGCTGAGCCCATTTTCAAGTTTCAAACCGGAGAAAGAGCCACATATGCCTCTTATATTCTAGAACTGAGGAAGAGAAAGAACAGAACTGAGGAGATATGGCAGCACTTTCTCCATTCAGCAGTTGTTAGACAAGGTGAGGTCATGTGACAGATCTGGGCTAAACAGGGATTTCAGGTAAGAAATTAATCACAAACCTGACTGACACAATCAGAAAAGGGAGCTCGATTGCAGTGTTCTGCGGAAGGGGACGTCACACCCTTCAACTTGGCTGAGTCAATCTTTCTGTTCATAGATGCTTGTTTATTTCCCCGACCTTCAAAAGGCATGCACAGTAATGCCCTCAAAAGCACACAGAGCAATAATCAAGAATAAAACAGGAAGCTGCAGAGATACCATAAAACACTTAGTTTTTATAGCCCAAACACCCAGTGTGGGCTTGATAAGCTCTTAAACAACAAAAAACAGAAACTATCTTCTGTGTCATGTATCTTTTCCATTCCTTTCACAGCTTATAAAAAAAACCCAGGGAACATAAGATATGTTTCCTCTTGACAACAGTGCAGAAGCACATCAAGCTTGTGGCTATCATTTTTCTGTGCACTAGGAAATCCCCCTACTTGATTTTCTCTTTAAAAGTCTTAATGCTAAAAACTCATTGAATCTTCGATTCTAACTATGAAGACTGAAGCCTGTGCTTAGTGTTCATCACTGAGTTAATCACAGTGCCTTCAGCGATTAGAGCTACAAATAGCTGAGCTTGAAATGTTTCCCACGCAGGAGAGCAGCAGGATTACCACAGCACAGCAATGCTGTGATGCATCGGCACTACAGAGATGTAAAAGGGTGAGCATTTTTGTAGGTGACAGATCTGCGGGTCCCAAAGCAGCGCTTATACCGTTTACTAGGCAGATTGAAACTTATCCAACCTACAGCAGATCCAGCACAAGGCACCCCTTTGCTTCCTCTTAGCAAAACCTCCTTTTAGCAAACTGAAAGCGTCAAGCACAGAAATAAGGCAGTGACTCTGCAAATACACTTAGAAGCTGCTGAACAGCTACTGAACAGGGTCGGGAGTGTGAGGGGAGCTGAAGAGAAGCCATCAGAGGCAGCGATATATAACATAATCACAGAATGGCTGGGGTTGGAAGGGACCTGAAGGATCATGAATCTCCAACCCCCCCCTGCTATATGCAGGGCCACCAACCTCCACATTTAATACTAGACCAGACTGCCCAAGGCCCCATCCAATCTGGCCTTGAACACCTCCAGGGACGGGGCATCCACAACCTCTCTGGGCAGCTGTTCCAGTACCAACGCTGGAACGGAAGGTACGTCCCGTAAAGCCAACGGCGTTTACTCAGCTCCTACTACCCACACTCGGAAGGGGAAGCTGGGAGAACCGAGGGCCGCACATTACTCCCAGTCCAGGCTCCCGAGCAACCAGGCGCCCGCCCGAGGCGCAGCCCGCGTGCCTCCAGAGCCGGCCCGACGGCCCCGGCCGCTTCCCGACGGCCCCGCCCGCACCGCGCCCCCGAGTACCGACACGGGAGGAGAGGCGCGGCCGCCCCGGCCCTACCTAAGGAGGGTTTCGAGCGCGCTCTCGTGCTTATCGAGCGGGCGGCCCAAGGCGCTCTTGCGCAGCTTGCTGAGCTCCTCGGCGGCGCGGCAGTGCTCGGCCTGGGCGTCGCCGCTCGGGTAGCTCTGCTGAATGAACTTGCAGAGCGGCTTGGCCAGATCCACCTCCGAGGCCTTCTTCAGCTGCACCGAGATGAAGTTCGTCATGGCCAGCGCGGGACGGCGGGCGGCGCTCAGCTCAGTTCACACCGCTTCGCGCTCACTTCACGCCTCAGCCGAGCCCCGCACCCGGCCTGCCGGCCCGCTCCTGCACCGCCGCGCACTTCCGGGATCGTCGCGCGCTCCCGACGCAGCGACGTCACGTACGCACGCACGCCACCCCCACCCGCTTTCCCCGCCTCACGCACAGCCCACGCCGATCGCTGTGACCGCTCGGAGCCGCTGCGGCTGCGTGTGGGGCGCTGAGTGCTGGGGGGGGGAGTGGGGATGAGCCCAGCAGCTTGGGAGAGCAGGGAGATGCGAAGGGTACCGAGAACACCCTAAGAACTGATGTGTGGGATCACGGAATCGCGAAGGCAGGAAAAGAGCTCTCGGATCATCTCGTCCGATCGCCGGCTCTGCACCCCCGTCTCACAGCGCGTCCCTCAGCGCCGCGCCAACGCGGTTCTCAGCCGCTTCCAGAGACGGCGATTGCACCGCCTGCCCGGGCGGCTGTGCCACTGCGTCACCGCTGGGAGAAGAGATTTTTCCCAGTATCCAACCTAAAAATAAGTTGGAACGTTAGTTCTTCGTGGCAAGCGCTGGGATTGAACGGCCGCGGAGATGGTGGAGGGCCTGGAGCACCTCTCCTGTGAGGAGCAGCTGAAAGAACAGTGCGTTCTCAGCCCGGGTTACTCAGGCTCAGGGATCACTGAAGAGAGGCCATGCAGAGGACGGAGACAGGCTCTGCCCAGCACCAGGACCAGCGGCCGTGGGCACAAGGCAGAGCACAGAGCTCCCTCTGAGTGCCAGGTAGCTCTCTGTGCTGTGTGGGTGATGGGGCGCTGGCACAACCTGCCCAGAGGCTGGAGAGTCTCCTTGGAAACACACAGAATCACAGAATGGCCAGGGTTGGAAGGGACCTCGAGAATCATGAATCTCCAACCCCCTGCCACATGCAGGGCCACTGACCTCCCCATTTCACACTAGACCAGGCTGCCCAGGGGCCCATCTAATCTGGCCTTGAACACCTCCAGGGACGGGGCATCCACAACCTCTCTGGGCAGCCTGTTCCAGCACCTCACCACTCTCGTAGTAAAGAACTTCCCCCGACATACAGTCTCTCAACTTAAAACCATTTTTCAGTTTTGGAGACCTCCAAAAGCCTAGACACCATGCTCTGGGTGTCCCTGCTGGAGCAGGGGCTGTGCCACATTGACCTGGAGGCCCTGCCTGCCTCAGATCTGCCGTGATTCTGTGAAATCTCTGCTGGCACCAGAAGGCAGTTTCACGGTTTCTGTGGGCACAGATATGTCAGGCACGCAGCTTGCTTTCTGCAGACTCAGACAGCATGGCTCAGCCAAGCAGGCAAGGCAGCCTATGAGGCTTGAGCTGCTGTGCGGTCCTCCTGCAGCTGTGGGGCAGTGGGGAAGGAGGAGCAATACGTTCTGCTGCTGCTGTGTGCTGGGGCAGTGCGGTGAGGCGGCTGCTTACAGCCCTGCCACCTTCCTTCTACTGCAAACTTACGCTCACAAAAATTCCTCTCTGTATATATTGTATGTGGTATACATATGTATGTATGTCTGTGTATTGGTGCTGCCCACACACAGCAGATACCTGTCCTGGTTTCAGCTGCAACACAGCTAACTTTCTTCCTCCTTCAGTTTCTTGTAGCAAAATATAGCAAAATGTAGTTGACAGAATTTTAAATTTAAAATGGAGGGAATTTTATCATACAATGAGTATAGTGAGTAAGCTGTCCCACCTTACTCCTATCTTGGTATGTGACTTCCTTACTGCTTTCTCTCCCCAGATTTTATTGCCCACGCCCACTTGTGAGCACGCCATCTCTCGGACAGAGGCTGCCAGGTAGCCTTATACTGACGGCATTTTCCAGTCCCGGGGAAAACCTCCACCCTCACAAGCTCAGATCCTGATCAGTCTCAAGGTAGAGCCTGCCAAGGGGTTGCCTCCCTTTGTTTCCAGCATCAAGACTTTGTGAGGTATAGTGAGCCCACACGGCGTTACACGATGCGTGGCTGCCTATATAAGGGTGGGGAGGCCATGAATACCTCCCTGCGCAACAGTCATAAACACGGAAAGGGTGTGAACAGGGAAGGGCAGAGACTGCAGCCATGAGATCATGCTTTTACTTTGGAACCCCGGTGACCTTTAGATGATGTTGCTTTACACATGCAACCACCGATATTTTGCATTCCTAAACCGCCCACCAACACAGCTCAGAAATTTCACTTTGTTTCAGAGTAAATTGCCGGAACTTCAAACATACAGGTGGTTTGCTTTTTTTCTCGTGGATTTTTTAGTCAGTATTCATCTGATAACTTTGCTTTCGTTATTACAATTGTCATAAGCAGTACTGACTTGTCTCCTTATTACCTTGTGACCAGTTAAGTATTATTTCCCAATTTAGAGATGAAGAAGCCTCATAGTCAGTAGTTAGCAGCACAGGGAGCATAATCTGCATATTCTGACTCAGAGTCCTGTGCTTTAAACAGCAGATCATACTTCCCTCTTCAACAAATTCATGATAGCATCTAAAGGAACTGCTTAAAAACAGCTTTCCCCTGAAATGTTTAAGGTAATGCAGCATAAACAAGTTGGCTGTCTGTAAGCACAACCAAGGTCACTGATACATTTAATTTTGGTGTAGACAGATGATTAGATGTCCCCAGTTTTCCTCTCTTTCCTAAACAGCTATTATGTATATATAGAACATGGCAGTTTTGCAAAAGAGTTTCTAAAAGGCAGATTTGATTTCAGTATGCTATTGGTGTTTCTGCATGCTTCATATGTTTTGTCTAGTATTTTTGGACGTAAAAGTTTTCACTGAAAACTGATATTCTATTATAAATTTGCTTTCTGTTAAAAAAATCTGTATACATATCTTTCACTAAGGCAAGATTTTATTCTTAGACTTTCATTGTGACCCTTTATCCATAGTGTAGGTGTTGCCTTGTAGCAAAAGCCCTAACTGGCAGGCAAGGTGCTCTATGAGAGTGAAAAATCAGCACAAAGAAGTGATAAGGCACCTCATTGTTCAGTTCATTAAATCTGATGGTCATCCAGCATAACACTTCATTTAATCATTCATATTCAATGCCATTTTGACACTCCTGACACAAACTTCTGGGGACAGGAAGTAATTCCAAATCTTTTATCACCACTACCTTTTGACATGAGTTTCAGGAGTCATGGCCTCAGTTTCCAAAACTGGGGAATGCAAAAAACAAATTGTAAGTCAGAAACAGCTCTGACTGAACTAAATAACACGTCTAGTCCTACTACCTGTTTAAAAGAAAATAGAAAATTCTCCTAGCTATTCTGATATTAAAGTCATGAAACATTTGCAAGACATGGTGACGTACTGGTAAGAGATCGCTGTTTTATTTTGTTAATATTGCTTGGGAAACTGGTTCTTCCTCACTCCCCATCTGGAAGACCAGAGGGACACCAAGGAGGCCAGAACAGAGCTATTTAGGATCACACGGGAAAGGGAAGCAAGGTCCAGGTGAGGAGTAATCCCCTTTAAATACAATTTTCTTTGTGTCTGGGCTCAAGTTTAAACACCCATGGCTCTGTGAAGGACCAGAGCAAGTGCTGGTCAGTGACATCTGCTCTGGCTGCTCCAAGCAGCCAGGCCATTAAAAAGGTGGTAAAATTCTCTTCTGTGCAAAAGTGTTTTCAAGAGTTTTAACACATTGTTTTTAATGTTCATGCAATTCATATCTCTGTGGTTTTAGAAGATTTACAAAGCAGAACAGCTTGTAGAAGACAGCAGCAACACTCAGTAATAAATAATTGAGAAGCGATTAAAACATCTCTTCCAAAAGCTGAAGGTCAGGATTAGGGCAAGGTGCATCAATACAAGCATTTAAAATTCTCCTTACAACATATTGAATAAAACTGCTTTCAATTTCCTTAGACTCCCATAGACTTCTATATTGCATACTAAGGTGCAGTCACATTCTGGCCCTGGAAATGTACTTTCTGCTTAAAATGATGCAGTGCTTCTATAGGAAATTTTGCTGATGGAATGCTATTGCTTGCGGGGCAGCTATGCATAAGAAGAGATTAACATAATGAGGAATATTGTCACTGTTTGATCCCAGGCACACACAGCCCTTTACTGAATCCAATGCTGCATATATAATCTTCTGAACAACCCATGTGTGAATATTTTACTCTGATTTTGGCATGAAAACTTTGCAGCCAACACATTTCGGTGCAAACTTTATGATGTGTGTTTTGAAAAATGTTCAGAGCTTTTCTCTGAAAGTTTGTTGAAAGAAAGAAAAAGACTTGTTCTGCCTTTGTTCAGTGTTGAACTGCTGCTTAATACATCGTTAGTTCTGCTTTGCATATATGAATTATGTATTTTAAAATAATTCTTACCCCTAGGAATGGAAAACAAAATACCTGTCATACTGCACAGAAAGTAGATGAAAAATCAAACATCTGCTTTTTGAACAAAATTTCGTCTTACACAGCACTTATTCTTGCTATGAACCTTCCCTTGAACTGTCATAGGGTTTCAGAAGCTCCCAGCAGGAGATGGATAGCACTCTAATGTTATCACATCTTTAATTAGATTAGAAGTTAGAAGAATAAAGTATTAATAACCTTGAAACATAAGTTTTTCTAATATATTCTTCCCCTAACTATATGGTAGTTTTACTGTTTGCAATTTAAAGTAAGAAACAACCAAAACTTAAGTATGCATTTCTTTATTCATGACAGGAAAGAGTTTCTAATTTTGCAAATTGCTCTCACAAGCTTGGCTAATTAAGCTGATCCTTCAAATCTGAAAGCCAAAGTGTTTTCACATCAAAGAGTGCAAACATGTCAGTGATGGGAAGTAACAAAACAGAAGAAAGATAGTTGGGTAACATTGAATCTCTTAATCGTTGTTATACAGGGTATACATAAAGCAGCAACTTTGTTTTATTCACTGTAAGACATTGCTTGCTTTATTTAAAGCATTGAATTTCACATTTTATAAAGAACTTGCTCTGAATATGCCATCAATTCCATTAAAAAATGTTTGCATCAAAGGACAGAGTAGCCGTCAAAGAAGTAGAAATTCGTATTTTCCTTTGTTGGTATTTTATGCTCTGTAATTAAATTGTATATTGTTTTTGCCTGTATATTTAATGCAAGAAAATGTTCTTTTCCTGTTTATTACATTACAACTACAAAGTTTGACTAGAAAGCTCCATGTGTAGTTGGAAGACTGGGAGTTTTACTGGACATGAAGGTATGAAAGAAATTAAATTTCCTTAATTGAGGAAGATTCTTTACAAGTCATCTTTGACTTAGCATTTATTTTAGTAGTATTTTCTATTTGGGGTATTTGTTATCCTGAAACATGATATATTCAAATAGAAATCATTTCACAGAGCTTGAAATAGGTCTGAAATGGATGTGGTCGTTAGACAGCATAATGTGTGTTAGTATAGAGAGGTCACATCTTGCTACATGGAAAAAGCAGGATGGTGAATGAGATCCCAACAGAAATACCTTCACTTGGCCAAGTTCACCCAAAAACCCTGCTGAAATTCAGCTCTGTGGTTCTTTATGGCAACAGGAAGGTTCACACTGCCATGCAATCCTTTCCACAGACAAGGAAGTATGACATTTTTGGCAGTAGAGAAGAGCCTGTAGAAAGTCATAGCCCAAATACCTGCAGCTCTATCACTGCACAAAGCAGCCTTGTGTAATGAGCCTACATGATATGTCCAAAAGTGGACGTACTGGAGCATGCTCCTATGGATCCATCCTCTGGATCCCCACCCGGGCACATTGCCCTTGGCACAGCATGGTTGAAGTCTGTTAAGCAGAGAGAAGCTCAGAGAGGGAAGTGTCTGCCATGATGGGCCAGACAGAGCAGGCCCACGCTGCTGGAGCAGTATTCAAATGTGCCAGCAGGGACTGACGCCTAATTTCACGTCTCAGGGGATGGCAAAGATGCAAGGAGGAGTGAAAGAATCTGCTTTTAGAGCTGTAAAAATCCAGATTCCTCCTTTTAATGTGGGGTTTGAAGGAACTGCTCCCAGGAAGGCACCGTGGAAAGAACAACTGCAGGCCTTATTTGATGAAAACAACTCCAAAACAGCTTGAGACCTTGCAAACTGGAAGGGCCAAATCAAATACAGAAGCCCCTGAGAGCATGGTTGTTCCATGGTCCATGCAGAAAGGGGGTTGTGCCTTTTCCCAGTTCAAGACATCTTAGCACCCACACTGACAGCGTTACAAGGAGCCACCACTAATAACAACACAGGAAATGCACTTCTGAAAGCAGCAAAGATTCTTGTATCTCACTTTTAAACTTGCCCGTAATGTCAGGCTTTTATCTTACACATTCCAAATGTTATGAATCAGAACAAAGTTTCTCTGTTATGTAGTGTTACAAAAGCCAGTTTTTTTGCAAAGTTTTGTCCGACCACAAAAATCCAGGGCTAAAGAAATGGCAACAGGATTTACCAACAGTGCTGCCAGAGGATTCCTTCTAAAAATGCTTGCTTTGCAATTTTCAAAGGAGAAATGATGCACGAACTGAGACTTGCGCAGACTTCAAAATGCAAGATGCAAAATATGTGGTTTCATCTATTTCATCATTCTCCTACTGGCCGTGTGTGGACATTTGTGGTACAAGCAGGCAATGGGATGCAGCATCAGCAGTGCACTCCAATTGCACAGGAGGAGGAAAAGGAGGATGGTTTGATCAAGGGCATTGTTACAGTACGTGTCTATTTCTGTTCTTTTTCCTCACAAAAGGAGGTAATTGTGACTGATGTTGTTTTTTAATCACAGTAGGACAGCCATAGGACATCACAGAGGCTGACTCAGACATTAAAGGGGATTGTGTGAGAGACACTGGGAGAGCTGGCTTGCATTAGGAGACTGCACTTCAGGCAACAACACCTTTGCAGAAGTTATATAAATTAGGGCAGGTTCCAGTTCACTGCTCAGAATATATGATTCATCCTGGCATAAAGTATCTGGATGTGGCTTGACTAATGCTAGCACCTAAAATGTCACTGTAAGGAATGTGGCATGCACATCATGCTCTGTGAAGCTCAGGAGATTACCCCTGGTGATAACCTCTCCAACTCCAAGGTTGGTCTGCTTGGCATTCCCTCTGCAGGCCCTGGAAGTTCCTACTGACATGTAGGCAGACTGAAAATGGTGTAACTGTGGAATCAGACATTCAGCTGATTTGCATATGCAACATTTCTTTTAGTTGCACTGACTGGAATAAACTGCAGCCTGGCATTCCTTCCAAACTGGTCAGCCTCACAACTTGACATTGTTTCTTCTACTTCCAGACAGAGAGATGCTGACATGCACAAATAAGGTATTTCAGGAAACACAGGATAGTATACTTGTACTTCAAATATTTTGTTTAAATAACGTTTAATTAGTTTCCGTTCTTCACACAGGCATGACAGGTTTATCAGCCGTCACTACCTAGGAGCTATGGAGCTAGGAACTTGACAGTGACTAGGGATGTCTGACATAAAATTGTCCTTGGAGTCAAATGAATCTCTCAAAGTAAAACGTACAGACCAACTGCTTACTTACTGGCAGAATCCTTTGCCTTTCTGCAACTCCAGTAACTTTGGATATGCATGTTTCTGCCTACTCTCACTCTTGTGTTTTCTGTATTCTGTCTCTACTTCTCTGCCTATTTCTAGAATCTACTTCCTCCGCCTTCTGCAGTGTTCAAAGGTGTCATGCTCAGATTGGTTAGCTGAATGTGAGTCATCAGAGCAGGCCATTTCATTCTCCCATGGTGTGTTTTGCTCCATCTCATGACCATCATTTTTCCATTTCAGCCTTGCCAGTATTACCTGCTTGGCACGGTAGTTTATCAGTAATTAATGAGGAACCTATTTTCTGGGATGAAGCAGCTAAAGAAGTTTTTTCTTTGCTATGTAGATGATTCAGTATGATTTTCATTCTGCTTTATTGCCCAGAGAGGTATGTTGTGATTCAGCACTAACCATATCTGTTCTTATAAAACTCCCATGAAGTCTAAGTATATACACATCGTTCCCAAAAACCAGCCTGGTGAGAGCTGGGCTTGTGATGTACTGTTTGTTAAGGAGGAAGATAAAAACCGAAGTGAAACCTTCTAGCTGGCCAGGATGTATTTTCAAAAACACTCCACATGTACCCAGTAATTTGCACTCTTGTAGCAGCATGCTGATGCTGTACCTCATCACAGGATAACAACAAGTTTGCTCCAACTTGTTTTCTCTCCTGTTTTCTCATGGACTCACACAGAATAATAAATCATGTCAGAAAACAGCACATTAGCCAGATTACATGCAGAGAAAGAGGAAATGGGAATGTTGTTGTTTTAGGAAAAGGCTGTAAGAATGGAGAACTGTGGGCAGTTATTGCAAGCTGAAGTGATGACTCAGAATACTTGTTGTGAAAAAGCATCACATTTGGGGTGTCCCAACCAAGTCTGGTCCTTTTTTATTTTTCCCAGCTTTTGATTTGTACAATGAAGGACACCAGGAGTGTGGTTGTATTTGCTGTAATACTTGTTAAAGTACTGTAGCTATTTGCAAGTGTCTATGCAAAGAGTTAGCAACCCTTCTGTAATAAAGATAGGCAATAACTGAAGGAATTATGTTTGAACAGACCTGTCTTAAATACAGGACAGAAGTTATTTGCTGGAGGAACTCTCATGCCAGGCCCGAGATAAGAACCAGGGATTTCTCTTTTGGTAGATTCCACTGACACATTCTAGCCCTTGGCTATCCCTGTCTTTCCCCTTTTACTTCTAGTCACCATGCAGGGTCTTCCCAACCAATGAAGCAATGCCTCAGTTATTTGCTAAGGATGTTTCAGCATGCCAGCCAGCAGGAAAGCAGTCTGAGGTGTGGCTGAGATGTTCTTCAGTACCTCTCATGTTTAGTTCTGAAAGGTCCTATGGGAAACAACAGTTATGATACAAGTTAGGGCAACTCTTAGGGTAGCTGGAATATTTCCAGGGACCAAACAGGCAACTTCAAAATGGAGGTAGCCACGTGTTTCTTACACCTGAGAGGATCTCCCCTGGCTGACATTGTCTTGATTTTCTGATGTTTCTATTCCTGTTCTGCAGAGAACACTCAGTCAGGGGACATGATGCTGCTGCTTGAAGTGCTGTGCATGCAAATAACAAAATTCTGTCTAAAACAATGTACATGATGAAGGCAGACAGATGAAGACAGGCAGAAAGGTCCAAAGTTATTTATCTGAGGCACAGTTCTGAGGCAGATTCTGATGTAATCCCACCAGAACCAGTTCCCAAACTGGAATCCTCTACCAGCACCGCTTGGAGCCAACTCGCTCTGCATTTCAGCACAGTGGTGGATGGTGACAGCACACAGGTAGCTTTAATGCCATAACATACAGCCCACAGTGCTGTTACTGTCCAGGAATAAAATGCACTTTCCCCCTTCTATCTTAAAAATTCATTTACAGAAGGGAATGCAAAGCTTTTAAAAACAATTAGCGTGTAAATGTCATTTCCACCCTTGCCATCCATACTGCCTAATTAAATAGGGATACTAACAAAAGTAACAGGAATCTCATTTCTTCTAGCCACAAGATAAAGCTAAAAGTAATACTATTCATGCCATGCTTTTGATTTATTTCCTGAGAGTGGTGGTGTATGTTATAAATCTACTACCAACTGCAAATGCCAGGCTGACAAAATTCATCTCTCGGAGCCAACAGCTTACACTTGTACTAAGCTCTTGTGTATTAATTTGGTATCGGATTTTCTCCTTGTTGCAGGATCAGCTCTCTGCTTTATGACCACTGACATGTGAAATAAAATGCAGTGACCAGAAGATGTCTGAAGCAAAGTCAGATTTTATTGTGTAATGGACTTCCATCAGTGTGGGATTAAAACAAGACTCATAAAACCAACTGCTATTTAGTGGTTATGGAAAGAAAGTAAATCTGCAATTAAATTATAACGGGGTATTTATTGAGTAAAGGCAGTTCAACTTAATTAATTAAAGCTGGAAAATATTTAAACTATCAGGAACAGATTTCTATTGAAACCATATGATGAGCTTTGGCTTGATTACTCTCAGACAACTCACTGCTGCATAACTCTTCAGGCAAAACACCTGCTGAGAGCCGTATGCTGGTAAAGAGAGATTGCAGACACATTTTGAAGTCGATGAAGACAGTCCGGATTCAAGCAAAGATTACATAACCACCATGTAGTTCTGTGCAATGCTGTCTGTGCTGTGTTTCAGTGGGGAGTGCTTCTTCATGGAAAAATATAGTTTGGATTCAATATTTGTTTATGTGGGCTACCAGAAGCAATTATGGCTCAGAAAAACCTTTTCATGATAATGGTATTCTTGGATCTTCCTGCACTGAGCATATCTTGACAAGGAAGTTAGGGAGTCTTTCTGCAACTCTATTTTGTGGTACAGCTGCAGCATACTGTCATATCATGCACTGCCAAAAGCCCCAACTCTCCACTGCCCACTGTTCCTGCATAGCCAAGGCACTGGGAGAGCAACCCCATGAAGCCAGCAGTGCATCCTCCTGGCAGTGCCCAGCAGCACACATGGTCGGAGGGCCTGGGCTGCTCTGTTCTCAAGAGCATCGCTGCTAGGACAACGTACAGCCAACAGGACTGTGCTGCAGCCTGCACCATCTGTGCATGCCTTCATCTGTGATGTACTTCTTCAGAAATTCTGCCACATAGGTGGGATGTTTAGCTTTTGTTGGCTGTGCTCACCACACCATCTGCAAGACACAAGGGAGCACCTCAGTACCACATGCCAGCGCTGGAAGATCCAAGATCTTGATGATCCACTGGATCCAGAATCTGTCTTCTGCCTACAGTGACAAGTAAAAGGCCATGTTGGTGGCAGGCAAGCACAACCACCACATCTACACCTACACTTTAGCTTTGGCTTTTACCCACAGTTGTCTGTTAGCTGTTGCATTTTAAAGAATCTGCAGGATACTCTAAAACTGTACAGAGGAAAGCACAATTTAGGTTTTGAGTGGCTTCTGAAGAACAACAGGGAACAGTATTATGGCAACATTATTCTCTGGAGTTGACTGCAACAGCCTCTGTTAGGCTACAGCTTATGATAGTAAGGACAGCAAAAGTGTTTTGTCTTGAATAATATTGGCTTTGGGATCTGGCCAGGAATATGGTCACAAAACCATACAAACACTGCAGTGCCTGAGATGGTGCCTTGGAGATAGCTTTTGGTTTGCACACTCACATCTTTAAGTGCATATGAAGTTGAACAAATGCACACTCAAAAGTGCTTTCAGTGCCCCATTTCTGGTTTCTTTTTCTGACATGCCGTTAGTGTATCCCTATGTATGGACATCTCTATAATAGTCTAGAAGCTCCCTGCATTGTGAACATGGATAGAATAACCTCAAACATGGTGTGGGCATAGTCAGAGTGTCTGTTTCATTCTCTGGGCTCAAGTTAACATTTCTCAAAGCAGCATCAAGATATCAATGACACTGCATTGAAAAGGGAAAATGTTTCCCTTCTCGTCTGTCCCAGGGAAACGCAGAGAGCACAGTTCTTGTGAACCTGCCAGGAGCTCAGGGAAAAGAAAGGAGTGCTACAAAATGCCAGGAATGTCATAGCTTCCCCAAAAGTCTTTTCCATTAGCAAGATCTGACTTACTGAAGCGTTTGCTTTTATAAAATAGATAATCTGGAAACTGTTTCCTTTCATCTGATTTGAGACAAGTCAGACTGGGGGAATAATAAGTTCTTATCCTCTGTTTGAAGAATGTCTTGATTTTTCTTTCCCAAAAATACATATAACTGGATGCTAGTTCTGAGAATGTCATCATGCCCTAGGATTGCTTGAGTAAATAAGAGGAATTATAGCTATTGCCAAGATGTTCTTCATTCCTATTTTTGGGCATACTTCTGAAATTCATACGTAAGCAGCACTCACTGCAATCAAGGGAAGTTGTACTTAGGTAAGAACTGATGCTAAACCTCATCACAGCAGGATTTTCTGGATTTCTGACACTCAGCCCAAGTTTACAGCTCAAGTCTCGAAGCTACTCCTCACCTTTACATTGGTCCACAGCAAAACCGCAGAAAGGAACAAAAATGAACTGTGGGTGGAAAATCAAATTCTGCGTTGGAATGTTAGATGTTGTCATTCAGGTCCATCTCAAATTTAAATCAGTAGTTCAGATAGACTGGTTCTACAGCTCCTACCCCTCCTTGGCCACGTAGCTCTGTAACAGAAGTGGGGTAGAAGTTCTCCTACGTGCAGTAGCAGGAACCTCAGAGATGCTGCAGAGCACAAGGCTGTGTGTGGCACTGTGCTGCCCAGCTGCCCCATGCCGTAAATATTACAGCACTACGACCTAAAAATGGAGAACAGTTTCATCACACAAAACAAGCTGTTGGCCACTCGATTGACATTATTTTAGCTTAGGCTTTGCAATCTTTCTTCTCAAAGGATTAGGTTGTAGACTGGTATGTAAACCAGTTTATAATCAGCCAATGTGTTGAAAAGAAGCATGTATCTGAGTTAGACGAACTTCAGTTCTGTTCATAGGTGGTGGCTGGCTAATCACTGCCATTTATATCCATCTTTGATTCTCTGAGAGTGCCTGGCGTGACATCAGTGAGAAGGAATAGACTGGGAGGTTCAGGCATTCGCTGCAAAGGTGGACGTGTGGTGTGCTGATACAGACAGTGCTGCCTATCTGATGGCATGCCGACAGCTGATACGCCCTTGCACACATACTTGTGCTGTGGGCACGTGTTCTGGAAAATCCAGAGCATACAGGATACATCTGCAGGCAGAAATGCCCAAATGCAGAAATTTTTATTTCAATGAGAGTTCAATTCTAAATAGGGAGGCTATTGTGTTCAAATACTGGCAGTGAATGTAACAATGTTTCTGCTGTGAGTCATGCAATATTATTTTAAAAATATATGTATAATTTTTCATTGACACAGACACTACGGTTACTCAGTTAAAGCAGATTCAAAAGAGTCCACTTCTGTTATCGTGGATCTGTGCGACTGTACTTGGGTACAAAAAATCTGCATGGATTCAACGAATGCCAAGTAACAGTTAGAAGCTGTTTTAACAGTTCTTTGAAAGTGATTGTTTTTAAGATAACTTGCACATATATGTGTACATATGGCAATTTCTCATTTACATTCTGACATTCAAGGCCAGGCTGGATGGGGCTTTGAGCAACCTGGTCTAGAGGGAGGCATCCCTGCAGATAGCAGGGGCTGGAACTAGGTGATCTTAAAGGTCCCTTCCCATCCAAACCATGGTATGACTCTATAACCACTTTTACTTGTTTCTGTTATTTAAATTAACTGGTATTCACATGTACTTTCATTGAAAAACCACATAAGCATGTCAACTTCTTCCTGCAACTTAAAAAAATAAAATAAAAGTACCAAGCCCAACTCCTTATCAGGTCAGTCCACAGGATCTGAATCCAACCCCAGTTTTCAAAAAGTGCCTGCATTTGACTTGCGTGGACTTGTTTATTTTGTGATAAATGTGTTGTTTCTTGACTGGATACTGATCTGTGACAAGATGCTTTATTTTCTTGATGAAGTAAGCTTTCTGTTGCTCACTGAGACACTATGGATCTGATTAGAATTAATTTAAATAGTCCATTCAGACCCCACATACACACAGAAACAACCCTACTATGTCCCCCTGTAATCCACCTTACTTTTTCAGTGATTTTACCTCATTTATAGCACTGCTGCTTTCATAGCTGCAATTACAGCTGCTACCTCATTTCACTCTAAAATAGTATGATTCACTTTAGCTCTGGACAAACCACCAGCATGCCTTGAACTCCAGCCACAAGAAAGCAGCGCATCATCTCCATCCTCAGAAGCATCCTCTGCACTCCCTGGGTGCAGAGGTAGCACAAAGCATGACTCAGCCTCTCTCCCAAGAGCCACAGGATCCAATCTCCATGACTTCACTGCATTGCATATGAAATTTGCAGGCTCTGTGGCTGCTGCTTCAGTCCCTGGCACAGCAGATCTGCATCTATTCCCAGGTGAGCGATGGAGGTGGGGATGTGGGGGAAGGGAGGATGTCCTGATGTTCTTTTTCCGAGCCTATCGTGCTCCTCCTGAGTTCTGAAATGTAAAGTGATTGAGTAAGAGCACATCCTTCTATGGCATGGATCCATAATGGTGCGTTTGGTCGGAGCTGCTGATGGCTGGGCTAAGTGCATCTGCTTTAAACTGCACATTCAGCACTAGCCCAAGTACAAAGGGATTCCAAACCATTATAGACAAGGACAGACAGTCCTCTTCTTAGGTTAAAAAAAAAAAGAAAAAAATTACTCATAGCTGGCATTTTTTTTTTTTTCTAGAACACAAATGAGTACTTCATTCTTATTATTTATAGGTATCAGCCTCAAATACCAATTTATATTTGCATCCGTGCAAACCTAGTAAGTTTCTATGTGAGAAGGGTGGACAGCCAAGGAGAAAATATTTCTAGCAACTGCTGTCTTGGCTTCTTTCCTTTTCTGCACAGCATTATCAGTAACAGATAGGGCAGGTAAAGTTTCAGCTACGTGCCTCTGACCAGAAATACTCGCTCAGGGCTCCAGAAAATGCACCACACGAGGGAGCTCTCCAGCAGCCAGACAGGCTTTTTTTCCACCGACAGGAGGAAATGAAAATTAGGCAACTGCCAAAAACTTCAGCCAGCTTAAACTCGTTCCAAAATGTAAATGCATACAACTACCTGTGAGAAAAAGAACTCAAACCACCACAGATTAAACTATACATATGCAACTGCAGGTGAGTATTAAACTGTATGGATGCAAGGAAAACTTTACCTTATTGAGGAAGAATCCTGCAGATTCTACTTACGTGAGAAAACCTTTCTTGGTCAATCCTGTTAAAGCAGGAATTGCTCAAGTAATGATTGATGGCTGAATCTGGTTCTACTGATAGCAAGGACTTGTACTACAGGAAGGAAAAAAAGCCAAACCAAAGACAACACACATTTTCCCTTTCCCTTCACCTAACTCCAAGCAGCAAGAAGTGGTTGCTCTGTGTAGATGCTGGCACGGTCTGCAGGCATGCTGGCATTTACCAGGATGAGCAAAAAGCACTTTTTCTCACACAGTTTGGCACATTTGCTGTCTTGTAAGTTTCACACAGATAAAAGTGCCATGACTTGTTTTGCAAGAGTAGAGATTTTGGCGGTCCAAGGCCAAAATATACCCAGCTACACGTGTCCCTTGATACTGCTGTGCAGTACACTGTGTGCTGCCTGGTTTTCACTTTTCAGGTCAGATGAGTCAAGTAGTTTGGATCTTTTTCCAGTTCCTTCATGCTGCTGTAGAAACAGCTGTAGAAACTGCTATAAAAACCTGACTGGGAATTGCATCTACATTGAAAACACTCTTGTAAGTATTTTCAATAATTTTCGGTCAATTTCTTACATGTAACAAGGTAGAAACTTTTCTGCTGATGGACTCATAATGAGCTGTTGTGTCATGGATTTGTTGCTGTGCAGCAACATTACACAACTGTATCTACACAATGCAGGCGTGTTGCAGAGATTTACAGATGGAAAAGCTAAATCAATCAAGGGCTAGCAAAGTAACCAGCTGCACAAGAGAGGCAATCACCCTCTGACAAATGACAGACAGGTATCTCTACCAATAGAGACAAATAAATACCTCTGCCATATACAAAAATGACACACAGGACAGAGCTAAGCAGCAGTGCTTTGTAAAATTGTAGAGGATGTCACAGACCAACATGATAAAAAAGAAGTGGCTGCTTTGGGGTTAACTCTGACACTGTATCCTGGCTCTATGTTATTACTGTTTTTCATCACCTTTGAATTTATTCTTCTTTCTTCGTATCACACACATCAAGAAAATTAGCAAATGATTCATAAAAGATGTATCGGGATTAATTATGTAATTGAAGCACCTACATGTTTGTAGATGTACATATTTGACCATAAGAAATGAATGAATGCCTTGCAGCAATCCAGCAATCAGACGTGAGTCTGCACACCCTCGCCCATTTCTGCAATCAAATCCATTTAGTATATATCAGAAAAATTATTACATACTCTGTAGGATTAATAATTTGACCTTTTAACCATCTAATAAACAGGCATATGAAAATGACCTCTAGTAAATGTGCAACTTCATCTGTGGCAGAAGCCCAAATGTAGCAAAAGTTAGAAGGCACTGAGTACAGTTTAGGCAGTTACAGACAATTATATCTGTAATGCCTTGTGACAACATGGACTTTAACTTTTTTTTTTAATTTTAACCAACTTGCTACAGATATTGCAACATCACCAGAAGGATCTCCCTTACTGTCCTCATCCATTTACATTCAGAATACATGTATTACTCTGTATATATATATATATATGTATTACATTATTCTGATATTCTTCTCTGAGGGGGGAATTCAAACCATTCTTAGATGTTATGAACAGTGATAAATACCAGATACACATCGTCCTTTTACAATTAAGGTAAGAAAAGATATTCAATAACTACCTGTACAACATGGACAGCAATGAAAACAGTGACACATTTCTTCTTCAGATGGCACAGTACGACACTGTTTTACCTCCTGACAGCATTAACAAAACCCTGGGTGCTCTGATCTGCAGCCTATGAACAAGTGAAGCACACGGGCTGTATCAGCACACACTGCTGTGCAGCTTACAGGCACCATCCACAGCCCCATCCCAGTGCTGCGTGGAGCTGCCCAGCTGGTGCAGGAGCACTGTGACTACTGCTGAGGAATGTGGCAGGAATGGGAGGACAACTTTCTCATGGATTTCTCCAGTGCAAGCTGAGGCAGCGTCATTTGTAATTTACTGGAACTTTCTGCACAATTCATGTTTAAATTCACTCTATTTTTATCATTAAGGCCCATGCTTCTGACCCGCAATAAAGAGACCTTTAAATCACGGAGTTCGTAAGGGATTTTTGTGGTTCCTTCACCAACGGGATTACATCTCCTGTACGGGAAGCATTTGTCAGAAGTCGGTGCGGGAAGGCAGCCTGCCCGCTGCAGTGACTGACAGTCCCTGTGGGACAGCCTGCTGGAGGGACCGCTGCGAAAGGAAAGGGCAGAATGGCTCCCGAACACTTCCTCGTCAGCCAAAGGGACGAAGAGAGCAGCTTTCTCCCTCTGCGGCCTGTTTCCCAGCACGATTCCTGCCCTTTTCAGAACAGGACACTCCATGCAATAATTGGGCTGCTCTGTTGTATGGAGTGGGGGCGTGGAAACAGGTTTGATGTGAAGTTGAGGTTGGAAATGCTCCTCATTGGATTAGTGTCATTTACTTCAGCTCCTGCTTAATGGCTTGCACTGCTGGCCAGCCATACCCAGAGGACTGAAGGAAATTTTGGTTCTGCATTCAATTATGGGCTAAATTGCTCTGCAAAGTACTATTCATTGTTACCAATACACCAGAGTGGATTTGCCCTCACATGCTTGCCTATCATAAAGAAGATTGCATTCCAAAGGAAGCAATCTCCTTAACCGAGCATAAGAGGCTTTAGGAGATCTTTGGCTTGAATGAAAACGCCTTCTTCTTGGAGCCAAGCCTACATCCTTGGGAATAAAGTCCACCAGGGCTCTGTGAGAACTTCTAACGACAGAACCGTGTCCTTTGTCTGATCTGGAGGCTGCTCTGGATGCAACGCTGGAATGCTGCTCCTGCCTTACCCAAAAAAGAGGAAAGCGTATCCAGAAGCTCTCCTTGCCAAATGAAATCGCTGTTTGTTGGCAGAGAGAAAAACCGGACCACGGTTTTCTTTATCTCCACCAAAAGTTCGGTGCTAGGACTTCAAAGGCAAATGCCACGAGCAACACTTCAGCAGCAAAAAGGCCATCAGGAATGTCCATCCACTATAAAGGCAGTGGTGCTGGCAGGCAATGATAGAACGAAATACAGTAGTTCAGACCCCTGATTTTATAGCCAGGCTGTAAAAAATATTTCCTCCTATGTTTTCTAAGTGCTTCTTACAAGAAATTGTGTGTGGGGGGGGAGGGGAAGGGGATGTCTGCATATCCCAGTGTGGCTTTTTGCACTTCACATAGCTTTGTGATGTTGTCTCTGAGTCGACAAAGTATTTCCAACATTTCAAGTGCGTACTTACCCTTCCCCTCGGTTTCAGTGCCATTCGCAGCTCATTAGATTACCTTATCAGTGTATT